ACACTACTCAACTTACCTTTTTGAGAAATAAAAAATTTACATGAAAAATCATACATCCCTTCTCATTAATTTTTAAAACTATACTGAAATAAGAATATGAAAAATTTTTTAATTTTTCTTTTTCTCCTGCCTTTCTCTCCTTTTCGTTCAATAAAACTTAAACGAAAAGGAGCTTTTTGAAAAATGTGTATAATATCCTCAGATTTTTTAAGACATTAAACTAAATTTTTTACGTAAAAAAAAAAGAAAAAAAAATAAGAAGTATGACACGATCAGTTCAATTTAAAGAAAAAAAATCTGATATGGTCAGCATATAACTGATCGCAATGTGTATTGTCTAGTTAAGTGAAAGTGTTACAGAATATTATAAAAATGTCTGTTACATATGCACTGAAAAAACAGATCACTATTTTCGTAGCCAAAAAACATAACTACAACTTTATATCTGAAGTTGCTAAAAATAATAACAAAGTTAACAATATTTCTACCTCCATATTAAATGCATATTTATTTTACAGTGATGTACATAGCTGGTTTGTGACATGTAAAATGTAGCTAGATTTTATGACTATATTTTTAATTGACCTTCTGAGATTCTTCATGTGTACATGGCAAACAAAACATTTCTAAAATTACTGCGGAACATTGAAAATTTAGCTTAAAATTATGACTCTTTCTGCAATAGAACGTATTCAGTTACAACTCTCACTATTTGCTTGTGTAGTAATAAAAAATTGCTGTAATAGCTAAAACATATGCTGAAATTTTGGTCAGTTATATAGCTATCTTTTCCTATATGCAAAATCTAGAAAGAAAATGCTATATTAAATTTGAAGTAATTATTATTTATTACAACAACTATTTTCTCATTTTACTGAATTATCATGCGTAAGAAGTGTAGTTCAAATATTTCGATTGGAGTATACGCAAGTAGAAATTAAAAGTGAAAATTAAGGTGAAAAAAAAATTTTTAAATAAAAATTAAAGACAGTAAAAATGGATAATTTTTTAAAAAATATTTTGAAAGAATAGGGACTTAGCTCATTAAAACCTAATTTTGAAGGTAAGTAAATAAAATTTACAAATTTTAATTAAAAAAAAACATATCATTAAAAGGAAGGTGAATATGAGTATGGAGTTATTAATTGAACATATATATGTATGTGTAAGATATATGTATATGTTCTTATATCAGTATTTTATTTTGGCTGTTGTGTTCATGTTTTTCTGCATCCTTACAAAAAAACATAGCTGCTTTAGCTATAACAAAATGTGTTAAAATTAGTTTGTTAATATTGCAACATTACATTGGTAACTAACAATACTTCAGCTTTAATTACAGCTGAGACAGTTATATTTTTTGTGATTCTGTAAAAAACATGGCCGTAAAAGCTAAAATAAAATGCTGGTAATATATTCGATCATTACCATTTGTTCTTTTATCTAATTCTCGATATAAAATGTAACATTCTATTGTAGTGATAAACATGACAGCAATTGTTCAAATTGTTGCAAATACAAGTAAATGTAAATAATCCCGTTCATTTTTTATCCAAAAATATATAAAGGTTAGATCAGATTTTTAGTTTTCATAGAATCAGAATTAAAAATATTATTTCTTTTTCATAAAAGTGCTTCTCGAAATTATTAGAAGAAGAGTTGAACCAAGAAGCTTTCAAGAGCTTGGAATATCAAGGAGTCTTAAATTTAATTGAAAAACAAGCAATAAGAGCAATATTTTGGTCTAAATTCGTTTAAAAATATAAAAAAATGCAGGTGAAAACAAATATTTCGTTGATTGAATTAAATTTCTTTATACGCCATCAGCAGGAAGATTCGGAAAATACTTGCGCAACTGAAATCGTAGAAAGCGACAGTGTTACAATATCAAATTTTTTGTCAGCAAATAGTTGCAATATAACTTTGCCCAATCAAGAACCTGTGTTCTTGCATGACACATCAACGTCATCTTTGTCAATTTTGGATTTATCAAGCTCAGCGCTTTGCGGAAAGTTTTTAAAACATAAACATAATTAAGCAAAACTCCCACTTAAATAGGTAATTCATATTTATAAGGATTATTGTTTAAGAAAAGAATATTAAATAACCAAATAATTTGATTCTGTGAAATGTTTATTTTCTGTATTAATAAAAATTTAATAATAAACCAAAAGTTAATGTTATAGTTTCACTTCTTTTAGTTATAATAAATTTCAGAATAATCCATTTTATTTAAGTAATAGAGCTATATTACATTGCTTTCATAAGGATAATTAATTGTAAAAGTAGTAAAAATTTAACTCTGTATTTGCAAAAATCCCTAATTGAAACATACCTAATAGGTTGCTAAAAGAGCCACATTAGATTGCTATTAATGACTTAAATAATTGCTAATACAACAAAATTTTAATGCTGCATTTGCAATAATCCCTAACTGCAGTATTCATGATATATAGGCATCAGAGCCAAATTACATTACCATAAATAAAATAAATACTTATAAGAATTGTATAATTTTATTTATATAATTGCAAAATCACTAACTGTAATACTAATAATACATATCTGACAGAGTCAATTTACATATTCTTGAGTGAAATAAATAAGTGCGAAAACAAAATTTTATGCTGCATCGACAATAATAAATGGCTCTCAGTAATGAAAATGACTTGTATTTTTTAGCAGAATCAGATAAAAAAAATAGCAACTAATGTTAATAATTGAGCGCGATAAATAATGGCTGAAAATGCTATTTTTTCGCACTATCCCGATTTCTACCAGTTTTTATCACTAGGAGCATGCAAAACTATAGCAAATCTAGTAATATTTTTTTTTGAGTGTGTACTTCTTTCCAATTTTAGGGCATTAGTAAGCTTATAGTTAACATACCTAGAAAAATGTAAATTTGGCTCTTAATAGAGTTTCGCTTTGTGCCACCCGAATTCGCTAAAATGCTCGTCAGTTAGTTTCGGTGACAACCAGAATTCAAATATCAAATTTCAAAAAATTCCCTGATTTTTCCCATATACGAGGGCTGTCCGAGAATTAAGAACTAACCAAGAAAACAAAAATTTTGACAAAATTTATTTTTATTTCTCAACATAGTCCTGTTTTAGGTCGATACACTTTTGCCAGCGGTGTTGAATTGCTTCGATACCATTTTTATAGTAAGAACTGGGAAACTCTGCAAAATAGCCATCAACGCCAGACTCTACCTCTTCATTTGTAAAAAATCTTCTTCCATCAAGCCATTTTTTCAAGTTTGGAAATAGAAAGTAATCTGAGGGGGCTAAATCTGGTGAACAGGGTGCGTGAGGAAGCAGCTCAAACTTCAATTCATTAATTTTTGCCATGGCGATTGAAGATGTGTGAAATGGTGCATTGTCTTGATGAAACAACACTTTTTTCTTCGACAAATGTGGACGTTTTACTTTGATTATCCTATATACAGCCTAGTTAAACCCTATGACGCTATGAAACTAGTGCATGAGAAATCATGCACTAGCCCTATGCTCCTTCTAGGAGTGAACAAAGGAAAAAAAAAAAAAAAAAAAATCCTATATACAGCACTTTTTGATAAGCCTACTATATCAGCTAACTCACGCACTTTCAATCGACAGTCGTCTAATATAATTTTGTGGATTTTTTAACCGTTTCTGGCGTGGTGACCTCATTTGGTCGACCAGTGCGATGTTCATCTTCACAGCTAGTACAGCCACGTTTAAACTGCGCTACCCAATTTTTAATCATTGCATATGAGGGATCAGACTCCCCTAGTGTAGAATCTAGTTCACTTTTGATACCGGCTGGACTAAGACTTTTCAAATAAAAATATTGAATGACATAACGATGACCAATGTTATCCATATTAAAAATTTACTGAAAAACTTCACTATTAAGTCGGTAATCTGAAAAGAAAAAAAATAAAAGTGTGACAGTTAATCCTTAAAATAATAGGGCTTTCTGCCAGGCTTATTTTTTTTTCAAACTTTTTGTGTTTTGTTGGTTAGGCTACTTAATTCTGGGACAGCCCTCGTATATCCCAAAAGTTGATCAATCCGTGCCACAGTCGAAATAAACTTACATATAAAATTTCATCAAAATCAGTTCAGCCGAACTTGAGATACACGCTTGCACACATAGACCAACAGGTTGCTAAAAATAGTTTATTTACACTTCACTACTATGGAGAAGTGTATTCCCCTCGAAAACTCGATATGCAAAATTTGTCGCCATGATATTACCTTCCTATTGCATAACATACACAATACGGTCGGTAAAAATAGGAAGAACTTTTTTTTTTTTTTCTTTATTACATATAATTATATATTTTTTTTCCAAAATATACATATTCCACCTTAACAATAAAATTCTAAGATATAATGTAAGTAACGGAAACCAAACTTAGCGAAATAATATACATAGTATAATTCAAAATATAGATTTTATGACCTATAGCGTTAGCTGTCTGGTCTTATAATAATGTAGTACATATATAAAATTTCAACTACTGCAGGTAGTATAATAATAAAGATTAATAAAGATTAATAAGATTCTTATTTATTTATTTATTTATTTGTATTTTTAATATTGCTATTATATAATTATTTATTATATTATTATTCTATAATTTCTATTTGAGTAAAATACGTTTGTGCAATTTGAAAACATTATTGTGTAATATAATCTAAGATTTTCCTTTTAAACATGCATATATTATCGATTTGTTTGAGATTAGTTGGTAATTCATTGTACATCTTTAAGCATACATATAAACAATTCTTTTCTGTCTATCAGTCCTAAACAATGAAAGATAGAAGTTAGATTGATTCCTTGTGTTTCTACCATGTATATCGAAGTTCCTATTAAGGATAAAATTGTGTTTCATTTGATTATGAATAATTTTGAAAGCTGTTAAGTACATTTCCTTGATAGACAATTCATTGAAGCTAATGTATGGACTTACATATAGCAAATTCGTAGGATGGGTATTCGAGTAGTTATGAATGATTTTTATCACCCTTTTAATAAGAATATCTAACTTGTTCAAGTAATATTGAGATGTCCTACTCCAGATGGGGGTCAAATATATAAATTGTGATTTTATATATTAACAATATATTTTGTAGAGGCTTTCACTATCTAATAATTTCCTAAGTCGTCTTACTATAAAAATATAAGGTGTTACCTTCCTAATTATTGAGTCAATGTGACTATGCCATTTAACCCTATTGTCCACGACAAGGCCAAGATAGTTAAAATGATTTACAGTTTTTATAATATTATTCCCAAAGAAGAAATTTAAGTCCCCAAAAGTTTTATTTTGAAATAACATAATGCTAGTCTTTTTTACGTTCAAAGCAAGTCGGTGTTTGTTTAGCCACTCGCTAATTACTTTGAGGCCATATTGAACTGAATCCCTTAACTCATACTCACTAACACTAGCATATTTCATCACCGCGTCGTCAGCATATAGTTGTATAGAGCCGCGCAAGTTTAGTCGTGCTGTGTCGTCTAGTGTATAAATTTTAAATAGTGTGGGACCCAAAATCGAACCCTGACGAACACCCTTCTTTAATATTTTAGACTCACTAACCACATCTCCTAAACGTACACTCTGTTTCCTCTGAGTGAGATACGACCTAATAAATGAAATCTGGTCAAATTCAAAATTCATACCCGAAAGTTTGCGCAAAAGAATATCGTGGTCCACACAATCAAAGGCCTTTTTTAAGTCTAAAAATACGAAACTAACATATTTTCCTTCATCCATATTTTTAGTAATGAAATGTGTCAATCTTATGCAAGCAGATGTTGTATTAGATTTCCTTTCAAAACCGTACTGTTCCACATTCAAAATATTATTATTTGCCAGAAAAATCTCCAAACGATTTCTAATAACAATTTCAAAAATTTTCGAAAGAGCACTAAGTACAGATACCGGTCGGTAATTGTTTTTATCCCTATGACCACCACCCTTATAGATAGGCGTCACAACTCCACTTTTCAGTGAGTCCGTCAAAATATGATTTTGAAATGACAAATTAATAAATTTAACTAAAATAGGAGTCAACTGCACCGAAAATTTTTTAATAAATTTAGCAGAGATAGCATCGCAACCTGTAGCAGCCGCAGACCTCAATTTACCTATTATTTCCTGTACCTCCTCATTATTAGTTTGGGTCAATTGAAAAGGAACATAAATATTTCTTGAAAACCTACCAACATATTCGGAATCAATGGGCTCGTCAGGGAATACCAATTCCAGATGTTACATTTACAAAAAAATTATTCATAATATTTGCAATGAGCGATTTGTCACTGGTTTTCCTATTATTATCCTCAATTAGGCTGATGCTACTAGAAGAAACATTATTTTGCTTGTTAAACATTATTTCCTTATAGAGTGCCCACACCTTACGACTATTGCTAGGATCACAGGACAACTTATTAGAATAATATTGTTTTTTGCCCGCCGTATTAAATCACGTACTATATTTTTGATAAACCTCTTTTATGCGCGTATAATTAGAATATTTTTTTCTAAATTTTAAATAAGAGTCCCTGATTTTAATTTCGGCAAAAATATCAAAATTCATCCACTCTTTTTTACACCTACTATTCATAATAGGTATAGTTCTAGTATGCACCTTTACTAAAGAAGTTAGGCCAACTACAAAATCATTAAAATTACGATAAGAGTCCATTGTGGACCAAAAACTATCTCTAACTAATTTATCATAATCAGTAACAACCTTAAAATTGCAAATTACGTCCTTCTGTAGACTTCTATTAAAACTTATTAAAAACATTTGATGGTCAGACAGAGCAGTATCAACTATATGAAAAAAATATTCATTCTGAATTATGTCTGAAATAACATGATCAATTATAGTCTGGAAATGTTTCATTCAAAATTACATATCCATTAGTCAGGAGTGTACTAGAGTAATTTATAACGTCATTATTAGTCCTGCTTAATAAGTTAATATTTATATCACCTACAATAATAGACTGCTTAAATTTGTTTGTGATATCATCCATTTTAACAATAAATTTATTTACAGGTGTATCATGAGATCTGTATATTGAAAGTATATTAATATTTTCCCTATCTAGTTTAATTCCTAGAAAATTTGACTTTTTAAATTCCTCTTCAAAGAGCATTGAACTATTTAAATATTCCAATTTATTGAAACATAAATTGCGACCCCTCCGTAAGAATTTTCTCTATTCGAAAAGTAACCTGTAAAACCGGGTAAATTAAAAAATTGATTCTCAGATTTTCTTAACCAAATTTCTGTCAAAACAATGATATGTATTTCACAACAATAACTATGAATTAATGTTTCTAGATTATGTAATTTGTTTCTAAGACTTTGAATGTTGAAATATATTATGTTTAAATTATTTTTGTAGTTCATCTTAACAGTCTGTTGGTTCACACTAGTAAAACGGGACACCCTAACAAGTCTATATTTTCTACCTCATCATCCATAGTACATAAACACAAACAATATATTCAAACACATCGCATCTGATATCAGTAATTCATGCATTGCAATTATGTACCTTATAAGAAAAGTTACAAACCGGTTAAATAATAAAATTTGTAAAATAAAAATTAGAAACAGAAGGACAATATATGCCATGCTTAAAAATTCAGTTTCGATTTCCATCTCGCGTTGGAAAGTTTTAATATAATTAAAATCGTTTCGAAAATAATTTTTAATTTTAGCACGTGGTTCAATAAATTGTTTTATTCGGTAAAACATGGAATAGGTTATTTTAGTTCTTAACATACGTATGATTAAAAGTATAAATATTGATATTATATAAATCGGTATAAATAAGAATCTTGTACAATTATTATCACATAAGTGAAATACAAAAAATAAATATCTATAAAATGAAATTATTAGTTGTAATACATTTGTGAAAAATTAAAAAAAATAAAATACTAAAATAAACGAAAACATTAAAATAAAAATATTATTTATCTAGGATTAAATACCTTTCAATATTAGTATTAGTTTTGTTGTATATTAAGTTCTTTTTTGATGTAAGTGATGTCATTGAAAGTTGTAATCCTATATACCTTGCTAGATGAGTTTTGACGCATATAAATTTGGTTTTCCTTAACCCACAAATATTGAAATTTTTGGGATATTTTGTTTTGTTTCGCCTCAAAATATAGTTTTGATTGAAGAGGGGAAAGGTGGTGGCGAAAAAAGATTTCTTTGTTCCCATTACTTGCCAAATCAATATCTGCTGAAAACAGATTTTTATATTACGCTTTTTTCATCAGCATTTCGGTTTTAGCTACTTCTAATGTAAATTTAACTATATATAAACTATTGGCAGTCGCTTTTCCATTAACTTTTTGTTCTACTGAAATAACTTTCTGGATATCATTACCTGAAATATTAGCTTTAATAGTTTTTGCAATGTTCAAAATGATTTCCACAGGAAAGGGAGACCAGCTACCACTACATCCAATTTATTATTTTTTGGTGTACTTCATCATGTTTATGCTTGTTTATTTTAAACTAAGATTTTTTATCTTTCTGTAACTTGAGCAAGCTCCTTTTTTAGAAAAACGTTTTCGTGAAGGATACTATTATTTTGTTGTGTCAATTCATCCAAACGTAGGGCAAGATTATGTTGTGATTTATGTATATCACCAACAATCAGACCTACATTTTTCAAATAAGCGGCTAATTTATCAATGCTACAGTTTGATACATCAAAATTAATTAGTTTTTCCTGAATTTCATCAACATGATTTACAAGATTATCTGAATTGATAATTTCGTTCTCTCCTTCACTTTCTACTATAATCGATTCATCACAAATAGATTTGCAGGCTGAGCATTTCCACATAATATTTCCTGTTTTAATGGCACTGAAAACTTCGTCCGCCATTTTAATACATTTTTTATGAAAATAGCGATGACAATCACCCATGCACTGTAAACCCTTTGATTAGCTATTTACAGTAGCCTTACACATTATACATTGCAACGCTATTATTGGAATAATATTTATTTTAAATTCTCACAATAAAATATTATTCTTATTGCAATATTTATTTATTTAAATTATGCTGAATTACTCAAATTATAGATACTTTAAGTGTGTATTAATATCCCAATTCAAATTTATTTTTTTAAATATTTTTTAAAAATCTACTATTCGTCAGCACGCAGCAGTTCAATCACGCGTTTTTTTTATTAATTATAAATCAATTTTATTAATTTATAAAAACCTTAAAAAAATTGTAGAATTCAAAGGTTAACCACATGAGTTAAGATAAATAATTATATTTTTTCGTGACATGATGTTTACCATCAGCTTCCTGCATTAATTGAAACGCTTGCTATTTTTGAAATATAAAGTTTCGAAAATTAAAATACATGACTATATTAATGAAAGCAATTTCACTATCAAAAAAAATTTATTGGTAAAAATTTACAATCAAAATTTTATTGGTAAAAACAGCTAAGAAATTGGCTCTTTTGTAAACCAACAAAAAAAAAATTTCAAAAACATAAGTTTATTTCGTAAAACTTTTTATAGCAAAGTTGTTTTTAATCTGCCTAGAAAAGTTTTTTAATCTATGGTATTTTACCTAAGATTTTAGTTGCTTAATTTCCTAAATTCTTGATTCTATTTATTGAAAACGCGCGAACTATGTTACTTGCAACCGCAAAAACTCTGTTACGGCTCAAGTTCTTAGTTAATTTAACTAAGCTTTTTAGTCACTTATCTAACGTAAAAGTTAACTGTAAAATTAAAAGTTCCAAAAAATACAGACAGAATACAGACAAAAATATTTACATATGTTACCTAAGAACTAAGTTATAATAATTGTGTTTACTAAAATAAAGTTGTAGTTTGCCTAAGTTATTGGCCAATTTAACAAAACTTTGCAATAAAGCGTTTATAATCAAAAGTGTTCGAATATATTAATGTACTTCATATATAAATGTAGTACATATTTTAAAAAATTATTATTGTAATCATATAAGTATATATTTCTGCAAATTATACATCGAATAATGTGCATTCCTAATTGTACTTCTAAAAAACAAGGAATATTTATATAAATAATCAATAAACATGAATTTAATTGCTGTTTTTTGAATAACTATTGTTATTAATTCTAATAACCAATATTTATTACATAACACTTATAGGTTACAAGTTGAAATAAAATGCTCTTATTTATATATTAATATAACCTTTATTAGTTTTCCTTATTGTGTTTGTCAAAATTTATTTTAATTAAGCTTTACTTAGGTATTTGCCTGAAGTTTTCGAAATATCTGCATAATATGTTGTGGGGACAAATTTTATTTAAGTATAACATTAACTAAGTGAAATGTAGTAAAGCGCTACAAAATTGATATAATATTACATTGACTGCTACTATATCTCATAATCGACAACCCATATACAAATTCCAATCTAATAGAAGCAAGAAAAATTAACTTTAAAATCATCCGATACACAAATACAGAAATATTAAAAACCTGCAAAGGCCTAAGTTCTTAGTTAAATTGCTTCTAAATCTTACAAAAGACATTAAAACTTAACCTAGTTCTTAGGTAATTTATGTCGGTATTTCTTACACATATGCGCACATATATTATACTTTCGTATATATTCATGTATATGTAATTTTCTAAATCAGTAATAAATTTGCATTTGCTGGTGATGCGTCGTAAAAAATTAAAGCAATTTTTAAATAATTTAAAGTTTAGTGTTGTTGAAAACGCATAATTTTTATAAAACTTAAAATAAAGTGTTTGATTTTTTCCAAAATAAACAATAAATTGAATCTTTGAAATTTTAATTCAAATATTTTGTTGTGATGCAAAAAGTAAAAATTTGTAAGTGTTTCACGATCAAAATTTGTAAGTTTATTCCAAGTTTGAAAATTGGAATAATTGATTCTAAATTTTAATTTTAAGTTGTCAGCTATTTCCAAGCCAATATACATAAATAATGAAGATAAAAAGTTATTAGCGACTGTGTTTTCTTATTTATACAAAATCCAAAAATTTCAATTGTAGATATTACGACCATAAGAAACAAATATAAAAACGAAAATGAATATACTTAAATGATTAAAATAATGCAAAAGTATAAAATAAGTAAAATTTCTGTCAGTATATAATTATTATTATATACTGACTTATATAATAAAAATTTAAGTACATAATTAATGTTATACACTTTAAATTTATATATTAGATAAAATTTAATGAAGTAAAAATTAGAATTCATATATTATACATAGTTTAAATATTATTTTGCAATATATATAATAAAAATACATATTATATACACAAACATGAAAAATCTGCATATTTTGATGGTTGTATGGTTCTTTAGAAAAAAATTTAGAAAACAAAGTTTCAAAGTAAAATTTCTTCCTTAACTTATACGAGTACAACAAGTATAAAAATATTCACAAATCTTGTCTCAGACCAAAGTAATTTTACGGTTTTTAAGCAGTTATTGTGATTTATTATTTTTTTTTTTTTCCTTCTTCACTCCTAGGAGGAGTATAGGGCTAGTGCATGATATCTATGATGCTCTAGTTTCTATAGTCATAGAGAGTTAGCTAGGTAGGTGACTAGTCTACCGTAGTTTTTATTTATATTAAATATTTCAGTTTATTAATATTTACTGTTTATTTTTCTTAGTTTTTAGTATCGAATATTATGAACATTTCAAAATTACTTGTATAATATTTTATTAGTATTTGCATATTAAGTTATATAATATTGAATATAATTTTCATAGTGACCTGACCGGGGTTTGAACCCGAGACCATTCGTTTAAAGGGCCGGTGCCATTACCACTGCACCAATGGTCAGATTTGTGATTTATTATAGAAATACAGAATTAATGCTAAGATTTTGAAATTACGAATTTGTGATTTATTATAGAAATACAGAATTAATGCTAAAATTTTGAAATTACGAAATATTTATTACACATTTTATATTACAAAATTAAAAACAATTATTCTTTCAGGCCAATGTTTTGCATACCCCTTCACGATGTTTGCTATAGAATTTTATAAATAAAGTATTAAATGCTACAGTTTAGCTTTTAATGTAGCATCATTTTTAATTCCAAGATGATTGGCATAATTTACCCTGATGTATTCTTTAAATATAAATGTGTTCTGCCATACTAATTTTATAACTTTACTCATATTTTTCGAAAAAATTTTTAATTAAAACGAGAAAAAAAATAGACTTGACCTTGTCAACTCTGTGATACCCGTACGAATTTGTGCGAATAACTAATGTGCCATAACTAACTATGGGGCAGACTATGACTTTAAGTTGCCGTATTACCTTATTAATTTATGCAAAATTTCAGTACTATGTGTTATTCAAAATACTGGTTGTGCCAAACTACTAATGATGTTGTATGGCAGCTACCAGAAAGAGCCAAGAAATTTTAGCGAATTTTATCAAGCACATCGGCCCTACTAATATACTCACTTGTGTGAAATCTCAATATCACAGCTTTTATAGTTTCTGAGATATAGGCAAATAACTTTTGAAGTTGTATGGCAGGTACCAGAAGGAGCCAAGTAATTTCAACGACTTTTATGAGACACATTGGCCCTACTAATATATTCGTTTGTGTGAAATTTCAATACTATAGCTTTAATAGTTTCTGAAATATAGTCAAATAACTTTTGAAGTTGTATGGCAGGTACCAGAAGGAGCCAAGTAATTTCAACGACTTTTATGTGGCATATTGGCCCTACTAATATATTCACATGTGTGAAATCTCAATATCACAGCTTTTATAGTTTCTGAGATATAGCCAAATAACTTTTGAAGTTGTATGGCAGGTACCAGAAGGAGCCAAGTAATTTCAACGACTTTTATGGGGCATACTGGCCCTACTAATATATTCGTTTGTGTGAAATTTCAATACCATAACTTTTATAGTTTCTGAGATATAGCCAAATAAATTTTGAAGTTGTATGGCAGCTACCCGAACCGGTAACCCGATCATGTCCAATTTAAATAGGGTTCTGGCACTTACTACAATAAATCATTTGTGAAAATTTGGTGAGCTTAGCTCAATTAGTTTTTGAGTTATCGTTCGGACGGACGGACGGACGGACGGACGGACGGACGGACGGACGGACGGACAGACAAAGCTAAATCAACTCAGAATTTGACGCTGATCAAAAACATACAATTGAGTCTATATCTAACACCGTTATTTCTTAGCGTTACAAACGGTAAGGCAAATTTAGTATACCCTTCGAACATACGTTCGTACGGGTATAATTAACAGACGTTTAGTGTATTGAGTCTTGTGGAAAAGGCTGATCAAAGCAAATGTTTGTGAAAGTATGAAAAAACCCAAAAATTAACATATGGCGACAGGACTTGGATCGTGAACCATATTATGGTGCACGTATGGGAAAGTGAGAAGAAAATAAGCTTCAATTAGTGTAGGGATTTGGCCGAACAAATTATTAATATTTTTTCAACAGAAAGTATGGCAATTAGCTAAAATATTGCCTTTTCATATGTTATATACATATATTGCACTTTTAAAATATAGATTCCCTACTTTAGTGAAGGTTTAAAAAATAATCCGCCAAAAGGAAATTATGGGATCGTTAAAAACATTAACTAAAACCGAAAACTTGCTGCAGTTTTCAAAAATTGCAATCCTATTGAATCAAGTGCTGATTTTCAGAAACTCGAGAAAATTTGGGCTGAATTGAAATATATTACGGGTCACTTGTTCCCAGTGCTTAAAAAAGTGGAATAAAATAATTTTGTATAAGAAAAAAAAAATTGGACGATGATAAGTAATATGAGTTAACAAGAAATTTTGAAGATTGCCCACTATTGAAATGCTTGAGAGCT